AAGAGAGGGGTCTCTAAAAGGAAGTCAGGGACTGAGCAGTCCTGATTTCTGTAGGGCTCAGAACAGACAGGGAGTGCAGCATGTCTGTCAGAAAGATAGAAGCAGGACGGGCAAGAGAGGTGCTAGGAGGAGATAAGAGACTGATGGTAGAAAGGAATAGAGGTTTTGAGTGAGGTGGACATAAGACATAGTGATGTATACATCAATAGGGAGAGATTGGAGGGACAGGAGTAATGGAGAAGCATGAGAAAAGACAAGGCAAGCCGCAGAGTCCAGAGTTGAAGTGGACGGTTATCTTTGGCATGAAAGGCCGCCCAAGAGGAAGGAACGATAGTTTAGATGGTTTAGTGCCAGTGCCTGGACGAGAAATGTTTAGTGTATTTGGTAAGAAAGGGATGGATTAAGCAAATTTTGCTTATTTAGAAGCAGCAGGAGCATATGAGTGAAAGAAAGTGTCGGGAACAGAACAGGGATGGATAGACACTGTCACCGAGGTCCTTGGCAGAGGAGGAGAGATGACGGTGGAGGCACAGGGGCAGGAAAGCAGAGAAGAGGAAGGGAAGAAGGGGAGGGTAGACTTAAAGAGTTTAGGATGGTGGATATGCATCCGCTTGGGAATGGCAGGGAGACAAACAGATATGGGAAGGGATCTCAGTATCAGAAGGGGAAAAAGAGGACATTTTGAACATCATTAAATATAAAAATGTATCAGTAAAATTTGGGCAGAGAGCATTACGGAACCCAGAACGGAGCCTTAGCTGACACCAGTGGAGAGAGAGAGCAGGGGACTGAGTGCGAGCCAGGAGACAGGTATGCAAGATCAGTGTGGTAGAAAGGGAAGCAGCTGAGAGCAGTGACATAAAGCACATGCTGACAGGGGAACTGAGTGACAAGGGCTGCAGAGATGAGATGGTCTGAAGAATCAACACGGAGGAGAAGGAGGGACTATAAGCTACAGTAAGTGAACCGCATCAGAAACAGAAGCAGGGTCAGCTCAGTGTGCCAAGCAGGAGGCAGACTAGAGAGGGTCAATGAGTGAGTGCTGTAAAGCAAATAGCTGGAAATACAGTGCCTGCCTTCATCGCCAAATCTTCTGAATCTGACATCAGAAGTATCTATTAAATCTACAGATTAAATTTTGATTTTCAAATTTTTATATTTTCAACTATGGAGAATTATAAATGAGGTTAAAGGCATATTCCTTGGTTCCACTATAGTAGAGTGTATCTACTGGAGCAACAGTGTCACTGCAGTACACGGTTAAGCATTATACAGTCCAGTATGTACACAATGTGTGTATCTTTCTGCATCATCGTAAAAAGCAAAATGCACAGAGAAGACATTGCATTGTCACATCTATCAACGTTGGAAGAGTTAAACAATTTCATATTTGTGTCAGTTTCAAATATTTTAAATACAACATTTAAATGGTTAGCTACAGGACTTTGAATACTGCAAAATACAATCTGAGGTGCTAAACGTTGGATGTTTTTCAAGAAAAAAGTATGCTGTAGCAGGCTGCCACAGGAGAAATTAAAACCATAAAGGATCATCAACTTTATACACATTCTGTACTACATTAAACTACAATAAAGGGACTACATCCAGCAAAATCAGCAAATTCATGGTTCAGTTTCCTATGCTACGACAAAATGAGTAATAACGGTAGCTTCTCGCAGACCTTTTATCACACTCGAATCGAGCCATGACATCCTTGGCCTTCGTCCCGCTGTCGAGCTGGATCGCCATGGAAACCTTGGCGTGCAGTGGAGCGTGGACCCGGATCACTCCCTCACGTATGTCAGAGAGCTGTTGACACAACCCAGAGAGCTACAGTAGCGTTTACCAGCGAGGCCTACAGCAATGCCGCGTGGAAGAGGATTTATAGTTCATGCAAACGATGAGCCCTATAGCCTTCTCCGTTCGGGTTTCAAGAACAGGAAGTGTTCTAGCTGTTGGCCCCCTAAAGAGGCCCTCCTTTATATTAGAATCATCACTAGGACATAACAAACACTGTAATAAACCAACAGGAAAAAGTACAGCAATTACGTCCTTCTGAAACCTTCATTTAGGGCGGAGCGGTGGCTCTGTGGCTCAGGATCTGCGCCTGTGACTGGAAAGTTGCCGGTTCAAATCCCATGGCTGGCAGAGGAATCCTACTCCGTTGGGCCCCTGAGCAAGGCCCCTAACCCCAACTGCTCCAGGGGCGCCGTATAAATGGCTGACCCTGCGCTCTGACCCCCAGCTTCTCTCTCCCTGTCTGTGTCTGTGTCTCCATGGAGAAAAGCTGGGGTATGCGAAAAGATGAATTCCTAATGCAAGAAATTGTATAGGGCTAATAAAGAAACATTATTATTAAAGTTTCAATTTTGCCGGGTATAACACGATTGATTTATAAACTGTGAGTGAATTTTTATTCATTTACAATGACACAGACCTTTTCGTAACCCTGTAAGTAAATAACACAACCTAAAGACACTTGATCTCCAGGCCCAAGGCCGGCTCGGGAACGTTCTCTGCGCACCTCACTCCTCTCCGATTTGTCTCGCTCTGCGTTCCACCGCCTCAGCAGCTTCTTCTTGTTCTTCTCAGAGCCCTGGTGCCTCTTCGGCATGGCGGCTTCGTTCATTTTCCTCACCTGCGAGACCATAAAGCACGGGACCTGCAAAAACCAAACGAGACCTGACGAACTCTCCTCGGCCCCCCCACGCCACCTCCAGACGTGCCAGAATCTCACGTTCCAGCCAGACGTGTGCATTGTGGGGGTTTTCTATTTCACTGCTCCTATTTTAACTGCATTGCATTTACTGTTGCAGTACTGTTGAGATTCATACTGAGCAGACAGCAGATTTATTTGACGTCTTCATCAACGTTCCAAGAGTTTTTACTTTTTGCAAGGCTACTAAATATTTCAGGAGGTAAAATTGATCGAGCTGAGAATTACCAGAATCCTAAAACAGATTCCCGTGTCTCGGCAAAGGCCCAATATTCCCCATCTTCCCAAACCAACAAAAAACACACTAAAGTCCTATACTTAACAAATGCAGATCTTACAACGTAGAAGCGTAATAAAGCAAAGACATACAGTATGTCTACTGATGTAATTGACTGACATCTTGAAAAATACACTGAACATAGTGAAGGACGAGAAAAGAAACATCACAGTTGCGGTAAAAAGACACTGGATATTACAGTAGGTGTAGAGGCACTCACTATCCAGAGCAGATCCTGGTATTTAATGAGGAGCCGTACCAGGTGAGCCGCACCAGCAGCCCCCTGCATTTCCTGTGGCTTGGCGGTCTTGCCTCTATACATAAACAGGTTGGGAGCCACAATCATGGACACGTTCCACAAGCTCATCCTGTTCTTCTCCTCGTTGGCCACCACCTTCCTGAGGAACTCCAGCAGAGCCTGAGGAGACACGAGAAAAGCCCAAGACGATCAGACCAGGCTGGTTACGTCATTCGCTCATATCAGCCTTAGCAGTTGGAAGCAAGTCTGCATGTAATACTGTGTCAACAATTAACGAGTAATATTTAACACACAGTTTCTATTTATTGCTTTTAATATGGTTTTATTCAAACTATCTATTGAAGCTTAATATTAATTTCTTCCATTGGCTCCTCATTTAAAGAAATATCTATGAGCTTGTATACAAAATCTACCCACATGGCAAAAATGCATTTGGCCGTAGTAGTTCTCTGTAGTGAGTGAATTCCCCAAAATAACACCTACCTCGGCATGCAAATGTCTCAATATACCAGTATCAGTACACGCGAACCGTTTTGTATGAATGTAATTCGTTCCCACAAACCCTTTCCTATAGCGAAAATACTTTATGTAAAACGAAAAAACTATTTCCATTTTTTCTTATAGGGAAAAACTTCGATCCATTCTGGACCCCAAAAATGTCACCCCTACTTGTACTTTTTTCAACAAAAAATGACACAAGAAACAATAATAAGTAA